TCACTTAGTTTCAATTCCATACTGAGAATAGGTGTTTGTTTATCCATTCCCTGTATACTTCACTTAGGATAATGGTCTCCAGTTCCACCAAATTGTTAAGGCAAAAGGCCTTAATTCATCCTTCTTCATGGCTGAGTAGTATTCTATAGTGTGTGTATAATGTTTTGTTAATTCACACATGAATTTATGGCCACTTGGGTTGATTCTACATCTTTGCTATTGTAAACTGTGCTCCAGTAAACATTCCAGTACAGCTGTCTTTTTGATAAAATGATTTCTTTTCTTTTGGATAATACTCAGCATTGGGATTGCTTGATCAAATGGTGGGCCTACTTTTACTTTTTTGAGGAATCTCTATGCTATTTTCCATAAAGGTTACACTAATTTGCAGTCCCACCAAAAGTATAACAGTCTTTCTTTCTCTCTGTATCCACAACATCTATTGTTCTTAGACGTTTTAATAAAAGCCATTCTAACTGGGATAAGGTGTAGTTTTACTTACATTTCCCTACTGATTAATGATGTTAACATTTTTTCATATTTTTTTATTGGCCATTTGTCTATCTTTTTTTTAAAAGCTTCTGTTCATGTCTTTTGCACACTTTTAAATGCAGTTGTTCATTTTTTTCTTGTGAATTTGCTTGAGCTCCTTGGATGAGGACTGATAATGGAGTTTGTGAACTCATACTGGAAGAAATGCTATATACCTCGTTGTTGAATATCATTACAGTCACCTTTGAATTACTCCCCTTGGGAAGCTATGCACCAATGACAGAAGCTATGCACCTAGTCCACCCTTAACAGTAATTTTGGAACTCTTTCTGGAATGGCCAGTAGAGCTCTTGTCTGACAATTAAGTTCATGAACTTACCATTGTATGTTTATGTTGGCAGCACTGTATAAACAAATAAGCAAGATTTCATAATTTTGGAATATCAGTGTCTCACAGCTGTGTTCATGTTAATGTATGGCAATGATTTATTGAATGGTGTTACTTATTGTTGTGTGTTTTTGTGTGCCATACAAAGACAGCTCTGATGGTCCTTCCAGAAAAAGTGTTTCATAATTGCTTTGAAGTATAACTAGGCACTGATGTCAGTGCATAACTTCCCAGGGGGAGTACTTCAAAGGTGATCATAATGATATCGATCATAATGTTATTCAACAATAAGGTCTGTAACATTTTTTCTAGGATGAGTTCATGAACTTAATTGTCACACTTTGTAGACTCTGGTTATTGGCCTTTTATCAGATGTATAGCTTGCAAATATTTTCTCCCATTTTTCAGGCTGCATATTTGCTCTGTTGCTTGTGTCCTTACCTGTGTAGAAACTTTTTAATTCAATCAAGAACCATTTATTTAATTTTGTAATAGCTGTGATTATCATTTGGGGTCTTAGTGATAAATTTTTGGCCTAGGCCAATATCTCAAGGAGTTTTTCCTAGGTTTTCTTGTAGAATTCTTATGGTTTCTTGCCTTATGTTTAAGTCTTTTATTTAATTAATTTTTGTGAGTGGTGAGAGATATGTGTTCTGTATCTATCTTCTTCATGTGACTATCCAATTTTCCAAGGACCGTTTATGTTGAATAGGGTTTCTTTTCCCCACTGTGTATTTTCATCTGCTTTGACATGAGTCAGATGGCTATATTTGCATGGTTTTATGTCTGTGTTCTCTATTCTGCTCCATTGGCCTGTGTCTCTGTTTTGTTACCAGTGCCATGCTGTTTTGGTTACTATAGGCTTGTAGCATGGTTTAAAGTCTGGTAATGTCATGCCTACAGATTAATTCTTTTTGCTTAAGGTTGCTTTGGCTAGTCAATCCAAACAAAGAATATAATTATTTTCGGTAGATCTGTGAAATATGACTTTGTATTTTGATGGGTATTGCACTAAATCTGTAAATTACTTTATGTAGTATGGATATGTTAACAATATTAGTTCTACCAATCCAGTAGCATAATATATTTCTTCCATTTGTGCTGTGTGCAATTTCTTTCCTCAGTGTTTTGTAATTCTCTTTGTAGAGATCTTACACCTCCATGTTTAAATATATTCTTAGGTATTTTATTTTCTTTGCAGATATCATGAATGATATTGTACCTTTGATTTGACTCTCAGCTTGACTGTTATTGATGTATATAAATTCTACAGATTTGTAGACATTGATTTTGTAACCTGAGAGTTTGCTGAATTTCTTTATCCATTCCAGGAATCTCCTGGTGGAAATCCATGGGGTTTTGTAAGTATAACATAATGTCATCAGAGAAAAGTGATAGTTTGACTTCCTCTTCATCAATTTGGTTGGACTTTATTTCTTTGTCTTGCCTGATTTCTCTGGTAAGGACTTGCAGCACTATGTTAAAAAGAAGTCATGACAGTGGGCACCCTTGTCTTGTCACAGTGCTTTCAAATTTTCCCTCAGTATGAGGTTGGCTGAGTGTTTATCATATATGCCTTTTTTATTTTTCAGATATGTTCCTTCTATGACTAGTTTGTTGGTTTTTGTCATGAAAGGATGGCGAATTTTATCAAATGCTTTTTCTGCATCGATTGAAGATGATCATAGGATCTTTGTTTTTTGCTGCTTTTTAATGTGGTGAATCACCTTTATTGATTTATGTTATGTTGAACCATCTTTGTATACCTGGGCAGAGGTCTACTTGGTCATAGTGTATTTTTTTTTTCATGTGCTGTTGGATTCAGTTTGCTAGCATTTCATTGAGAATTTTTGTATCTGTATTCATAAGGGATATTGGTGTATAGTTTTCTTGTGTCCTTTCCTGGCTTTGGTATTCAGGTAATACTGTCTTCCTAGAATGAGTTAAGAATTTCCCCCTTCTAAATTTTGTGGAACAATTTCTGTAGTATAAATATCAGGTCTTCTTTTTAGGTATTTTAGAATTTGGCTGTGAATCCATCTGGTGTAGGGCTTTTTTTTTTTTTTTTTTTTTTTTGGAGAGGAGGTTTTGTATTACTGCTTTTATTTCACTGCTCATAATTGGTCTGTTCAGAAGTTTTATTTCTTCCTGACTGAGTCTTGAGAGATTGTGTATTTCCAAGGATTTGTTCATTTCCTCTATATTTTCTAGTTTATCTGCTTAAAAGTTTTTGTAGTATTTATGGATGGTGTTTTGTATTTCTGTGGTTTCATTTCTGACTGAGCAAATTTTTCTTCTGTTCCTGATTAATCTAGCAATAGATATATCAATTCTATTTAACCAACTTTTTGTTTCACTGATCCTTTTATTACTGTTTTTGTTTTCCATTTCATTTAGTTCTGATCTGACTACTATTACTATTAAGTTATTGCTAATAACTTTGCTATTTTTTTCCTCTACTGGCATTTGTTTGGTTTGTTCTTCCTTATGTATTTTCTTGATATGTGACAGTGGGCTGTTAATTTTTCTTTTTGAGACAGTCTCACTTTGTTGCCCTCAGTAGAGTGCCGTGACATCACAGCTCACAGCAACCTCAAACTCTTGGGCTTAAGTGATTCTCTTGCCTCAGCCTCCCAAATAGCTGGGACTACAGGTGTCCACCACAATGCCTGGATGTTTTTTAGAGATGGGGTCTGACTCTTGCTCAGGCTGGTCTTGAACTCCTGAGCTAAAGCAATCTACCTGCCTTAGCCTCCCAAGTGCTGGGATTACAGGCATGAGCCACCATGCCAAGGCTAGGCTATTAATTTGGGATATGTCTGTCTTATTGATGTAGACATTTAAGGTTATGGATTTTCCCCTGAGGAATACTTTTTCTGATTCTCATGATTTTGATATCTTGTGTTTCCATTGTTTTTCAGTTCAAAGAATTCTTTGCTTTCTATCTTAAATTCATTCTTGGCCCAATAATCATTCAATAGTAGGTTGTTTAATTTTCCATGACTTTGTATAGATTTGAGTGTTTCTCTTATCAAATATTTCTATTTTTATTCCACGCTGGTCTGAGAAAATACATAATATGACTTTGATTATTTTGAGGTTTTGAGACCTATTTTATAGTCTAAGATAAGATCAATCCTGTTGAATAGCCCATGTGCTCTTGAGAAGAATGTATATTCAGTAGTTTTAGGGTAGAATGTTTTGTAAATGTGTATTAGTTCTTTTGATTTAGAGTCCAGTTTAACTTCATTGTTTCTTCACTTATTTAATGCTTTAGATGATTTATCAAACTCTGACCCAGAGTGGGTGTTGAGGTACCCAGCAATTATGATGGTGCTATATATTTTGTGGCTTAGCTTTAGTACAATTTGCTTTATGTATCTGAGAGGTCCTGTGCCAGGTGCATATACATTTAGAATTGTTTAGTGTCTTCTTGTTGAACTGCACCCTTTATAATTTGATAATGAACATCTTTTTCATTTTTTATCTTTGATGGCTTAATGCCAATTTTATTTGATATGAGAATGACTACACCTTCTCTCTTTTCATTTCATTTGCATGGAGTGTTTTTTACCATCCTTCCAGATTGAGTCTATGTCCATCATTGTAATTTAGATGCGTTTCCTTAACAGCAGATATTTGGATTGTTTTTCTCATTCCTTCAGCCAGTCTATGTCTTTTGAGAGGACCATTCAGACCATGTGATAAGTGATAAAGTTGATGTGTGGGATGTTGATGTGTTCATCGTATTGCACAGTACCTTATTGCTTTCTCTTCCCTCTTGTGACATTCTCTTTTTAATAGTTGTGATTTTAGTGGTTCTTTAGGATGATTTTATATTGGTAGGTATTTATTGCATTGATTTGTGTATAAATGCTGTTCTGAGTACTTCCTGCAAGACAGGTGTGGTCAAGGAAAATTTTCTCCGTGTTTGCTTGCCTGGGAAAGAATAAATTTCTCCATCAATTAGGAAACTAAATTTTGCAAACTTCTAGGTTGGCAGTTGTTCTGTTTAAGAAAATTAATGGCTCTGTTTGACTCCTAGGTCAATTCCAACCATTGTTGAAGCTGCTCCACAGCCATTTCCAGGACCCAACCAATCATAGCTGCTGACCCCAGGATGGTGATCCATGTATATATTGCATCTTCCTCTGGATCTATTGCAATTAAGAAGAAACAACAAGATGTGCTTCGTTTCTTAGAAGCCAACAAAATAAGATTCGAAGAAAAAGATATTGCAACAAATGAAGAAAATCGGAAATGGATGAGAGAAAATGTACCTGAAAACAGTCGACCAGCCACAGGACACCCCCTTCCACCTCAGATTTTCAATGAAAGCCAGTACTGTGGGGACTATGATGCCTTCTTTGAAGCCAGAGAAAATTATGCAGTGTATGCCTTTTTAGGCTTGACAGCACCACCTGGTTCAAGGGAAGCAGAAGCCCAGGCAAAGCAGCAAGCCTGAGCCTTAAGCATTCTGCCTTAAGCATTCTGAACATGAGTTGCCACTGCTTTTATGAAGTAGCAGAATTATCTTGGCTTCAAAAGGAATAGGCTTAAGGTTGAAATAATAGATTAGTTGGTGTCTTCCCATGCAAAGAACCAAAATAAATAAATAATCAAAATGTGAGCATTGTGATGAGGAGAGTGGGAAATGAACATAAAATTTTACTAAATATAATACAATAGTGTTGTTATCTGCCAGAACATTTTATGTATGTTAGTCATTTTACAAGGAAAACACCATTCACCTTTTTTTTTGTATTAATATCTGCAGCTCAATATTGAGGAATTTTTAAAAGGAGATAAAGTGAGAGAGAAATAATCTGTCTCTTATACCAAAATAGCCTCATTAATTTTAATGAACAAGAATATGTAGCTTTTCTGATGTCTTTAATATCTGCAGCTCAATATTGAGGAATTTTAAAAGGAGATAGAGTGAGAGAGAGAGAAATAATCTGTCTCTTATACCAAAATAGCCTCATTAATTTTAATGAACAAGAATATGTAGCTTTTCTGATGTCATGTTACTGTGATTAAAAAGTACTTGCAGGTAATGTTTATAATATGTTAAACATTGTAATTTCCTGTAGTAAATATAACATTCTCATTCTTTTGTAGATGAAACTTTGGCATTCTGAACCACAAGTTTTCCAGGCTTCTAAATGTCTTTAATTTCATATTTCAGTGAACAGAATAGAGGATTGCCTACCCCTCCCCAAAAGAATCAATGCATGCACTCATTGAAAAGTTCTTTGTTTACACAGTTAAGATGGAATCACGTTTCTGAGTTCTTCCCCTAGTAAAATACACGTATGTATATAATGGAAATAGGTAAGTAGTTTTAAAATGACAATCTCTTCCATGAGCTCAAACCTTTTGATTATTATAAAATAGATTGACAATCATTCCCCAAGATTAGTTTTCCTAGGAGTTTCCCTAAAGAAATATGAGTGATTTCTCCCCGTAAAACAGCTTGTGATCATGAATGTTGTTATTTCTAAGATATCTGACATCTTAATTTCAGTATAGGTGTATATTATATGAGTACATTAATCTAAACAAAGAGAATATTTTATCCTTCTATTCCAGCAAAAATACAAGTAACAAATAAAAGGGGAAACTTTTGAAATATTATTTCTAAACAGTTCTAAAAAGACAAGAAACATGGCCTAATCACTTACACAGAAGATATACATATATATATATACACATACACACATACTATTTTTTTAATTTTTTTATTTCTTATAGCATAACCGTGTACATTAATTCAATCATGGGGTACAGTGTGTTGTTTTCATATACATTTTGAAATACTTTCATCGAACTGGTTAAGATAACCTTCATGTCATTTTCTTAGTCATTGAGTTAAAACGTTCATACTCTGCTTTTAGAAAGATTCACTTTACCCTTGTAAGACAAACCATAAAGGTGACCCCATCAATCTCCCTCCCTCCCCCCATCCACCCCCCTCACCACCCCCTCCCACCCCCTTCCCATATTCTAAGGCTATAATTAGGTTATGACATTCCTATAAAAGCTATGAATTATTTTCAAAATAGGGCTGTGTACATTATTGAAGCCCAATTCATAATTTCCAGGTCATGGAAGAAACCCAAATGCCCATCGACCCATGAATGGATCAATAAATTGTGGTACATGTACACCATGAAATACTATGCAGCCCTAAAGAAGGATGGAGACTTTACCTCCTTCATGTTTATATGGATGGAATTGGAAAATGTTCTTCTTAGCAAAGTATCTCAAGAATGGAAGAAAACTATTTTTTGTTTGTTTTTATTTTTTATTAAATCATAGCTGTGTACATTAATACTATCATGGGGTACACTGTGTTGTTTCTATATGCAATTTTTTTATTAAGCCATAGCTGCATACATTAATACTATCATGGGGCACAGTGGGCTGTTTCCATACACAATTCGGAATACTCTCATCCAACTGGCCAACATAGCCTTCATGTCATTTTCTTAGTTGTTGTGTTAAGACATTTATATTCTACATTTAGTAAGATTCACGTGTACCCTTATAGGTTAAATCATAGGCATGATCCCACCAATCACCCTCCCTCCACCCATCCTCCCCCCTCCTCTCCCCTCCCTTTCCCCTTTCCCCATATTTTTGGGCCAAAATTGGGTTATTGTTTTCCTATGATAGCTATAAATGAGTTTCATAATATGGTTGAGTACATTGGATACTTTTTATTCTATTCTTGAGATACTTTGCTAAGAAGAATATTTTCCAGCTCCATCCATGTAAAAATGAAGGAGGTAAAGTCCCAATCTTTCTTTATGGCTGCATAGTATTACATGGTGTACATATACCACAGTTTATTGATCCATTCATGGGTTTATGGGCACTTGAGCTTCGTCCATGACCTACCAATTATGAATTGGGCTGCAATAAACATTCTGGTACAAATATCTTTATTGTAGCATGGTTTTTGGTCTTTTGGATATATACCTAGCAGAGGAATTATAGGAAAAAATGGCAGGTCTATTTTTAGTTCTCTAAGTGTTCTCCAGATGACTTTCCAAAAGGGACTTATTAATTTGCAATCCCACCAGCAGTGTAGAAGTGTTCCCTTTTCTCCACAACCGTGCCAGCATCTGTTATTTTGGGATTTTGGGATATAAGCTAATCTTACTGGTGTTAAATGATATCTCAAAGTAGTTTTAATTTGCATTTCTCTGATGATTGAGGATGATGAGAATTTTTTCATGTGTGTTTAGGCCATGTGCCTGTCTTCTTCAGAGAAGTTTCTCTTCAAGTGCCTTGCCCACCATGAGATGGGATCACTTGTTCTTTTCTTGCTAATATGTTTGAGTTCTCTGTGGATTCTGGTTATTAAACCTTTGTTAGAGACACAACCTACAAATATCTTCTCCCACTTTGAGGGCTGTCTGCTTGCTATACTTACTGTGTTATTGGCTGTGCAGATGCTTTTTAGCTTGATCTGGTCCCAACAGTGTATTTTTGATGTTGCATCAATTGCCTGAGGGGTCCTCCTCATAAAATATTCACCCAGGCTGATTTCTTCAAGAGTTTTCCCCACACTTTCTTCTAGTATTTTTATAGTTTCATGTCTTAAGTTTAAATCTTTAATCCAGTGAGAATCTATATTAGTTAATGGTGAGGGGTGTGGGTCCCGTTTCAGTCTTCTACAGGTCGCCAGCCAGTTCACCCAGAATCATTTGTTAAACAGGGAATCTTTTCAACCACTGAATGTTTTTAATTGCCAGGCAAATTTTTTCAAGTATTTCTCCTGCACTCTCTCCAAGAATTTTTATAGTTTTGTATCTTAAGTCCTGTAACCAGTGAGAGTCAATTTTTGTTAGAAGAAAAAGGTGTGGGTCCAGTTTCAGTCTTCTATTGGTCGCCAGGCAATTCACCCAGCGCCATTTGTTAAATAGGGAATCTCTCCCACAATTTATATTTTTGATAGGCTTATCAAACATCAAATGACAATAATTGTCTAGGTTCACCTCTTGGTCTTCAGTTCTGTTCCATACATCTACCTCTCTGTTTTTGTGCCATTACCATGCTGTTTTGATCACTATCGATTTATAGTATAGTCTGAAGTCTGGAAGTGTGATTCCTCCTGATTTGTTTTTCTTTCTGAGTAATGTCTTGGATATTCGAGATTTTTTCTGTTTCCATATAAAATGAAGTACTAATTTTTCTAGATCTTTAAAGTATGACAGAGGTGCTTTAATAGGGATCACATTAAATTTGTAGATTGCTTTAGATAGTATAGGCATTTTAATAATGTTGATTCTTTCCAGCCATGAGCATGGTATATTTTTCCATTTATTAACATCTTCAGCTATTTCTTTTCTCAGGGTTTCATAGTTCTCCTTATAGTGATCTTTCACATCCTTAGTTAGATACACTCCCAGATATTTCATCTTCTTTGGCACTATTGTAAAGGGAACAGAGTCCTTGATTGCTTTTTCCCCTTGACTATTGTTGGTATATATAAAGGCTACAGACTTGTGAGTGCTAATTTTGTATCCTGAAACACTGTGTATTCCTAGATCACTTCTAGGAGTTTTGAAGTTGATTCCTTGGGGTTTTCCAGATGTACAATTATATCATCTATGAAGAGTGACAGTTTGATCTTCTCTGGCCCTATTTGGATCCACTTGATTCCCTTCTCTTCCCTGATTTCAGTGGCTAAGACTTCCATTACAATATTAAAAAACAGTGGAGACAATGTGCATCAGTGCCTGGTTCCTGATCTGAGTGGAAATGATTTCAATTTTAGTCCATTCAATATGAAATTGGCTGTGAGTTTGCTGTAGATGGCCTCTATCAGTTTAAAAAATATTCCTTCTATACCAATTTTCTTAAGCGTTCTGATCAAGAATGGATGCCAGATATTATCAAAAGATTTTTTTGCATCAATTTAGAGAATCATATGGTCTTTGTTTTTTAATTTGTTTATGTGATGTATTATATTTATGGATTTATGTATATTGAACCATCCTATGACCCTGGGATGAAACCCACCTGGTCATGATGTATAATTTATTTAATGTGTTGTTCAACTGTTTTCTAGGATTTTATTGAACATTTTTGCATCAATGTTCATTAGAGATATTGGTTTATGATTTTCTTTTCTTGTTGATACTTTTCCTGGTTTGGGGATCAAGGTGGTATTTACTTTCTTGAATGTATTGGGAAGTATTCCTTCTTTTTCTATGTTTTGGAAAAGGTTAAAGTAATATATGTACTAGTTCCTTTTTAAAGGTTTGGTGTAGAATTCTGATGTGAAGCCATCTGGTCCCAGACTTTTCTTTTGGGGGAAATTTCTTATAGTTAATGCTATTTCAAAACTTGTTATAGGCTTATTCAACATTTCCACTTCTTTCTGGATAGTCTAGGAAGGTGGCATGTTTCCAAGTATTGATTTATTTCTTCAGATTTTCATACTTCTGAGAATAGAGTTTTATGTAATATTCATTAAGGATTTGTTGAATTTCTGAGGAGTCCATTGTTATTTGACCTTTATCATTTCTGATTGATGAAATTACAGATTTTTACTCTTCTACTTCTGGTTAGGTTAACCAGAGATTTAACTATTTTATTGACCTTTTCAGAAAATCAACTCTTTGATTGGTTGATTTGTTGTATGATTCTTTTGTT